TAAAGTCCCTTTAAATGCTGATTTCTTTTTTTGTCTTTGGTTAGGTGGCGGTAATACATAAAGCTGGTTTTCAGCAGCTAATAAAACCAAAAGAAAAAGTCGGGGTTGCCAAGTTTACAATTTTTACACTGAATTGGGCTACTTTAAACCACTGGCCGCAGGTTTTGGCCCAATCCCAATTCTATTTTTGTAGCCCTTGCCCTTCCCCTTGGCTCTTTAAACAGAGTGTGAAGGAAAAGGGCTTCAAAATTTACCCCTGAGAATTAAGACAGCACTACAGCACCTGTACACGTCATCACATGTCATTGTGATTTCTTATTTCATATGAGATCAGACGATGGTGACTGCTGTAGTTACTCCAGTTGTGTTATTTTTTGGTATTTATCTTTAGGACATCACTGAAGGCATTTACTATGTTATTATCATAATCATTTATAGAGGCAATAAGATCGTAGCTGTACTGTGCATTTACACAGTTGCCATATTCATTATGTAAACACACCAAAACTTAACATTATAGCAGACACTGTAAACAGCTCATTCTCAGCCACTAGACTTTTCTGACAGAGTATTCGAGTGTCAGAATGTTGTGGGACTGCTTTACAGGAGATATGGTTAGGGATTGTTGATCGATAAATTTAGCGTTTTTTTGTTTTAGCATTTTTTTTAAAGCATGACGTTAACACATGGGTGCGGTTATATTAAAACATGCTTATTTGTTGTCAAAAATCATAATAATGATTAAAATACTAATTTGTGGATCTCCTTACTTCTGGGTGCTGCGATCCTGCCGTTGTGGCTGGTGTTTTCTGGGAAATATACTTACCCCTTGGTTTTGAGTGTGGTCCTGAAAAATCTCTCTTTCGAGGGCTATCTAACCCTTCCCCTTAGCCCTATGCCTTCAAGCTAAAGAGAATTGGGACACCCCTACCTGTTCACAAAAATGCGCAAAACGAGGAAATGGGGTAAGGGGAAGGGTTAAGGAATTGGGATTAGGCCTTTGTCATAGTGCATTAGTTTCATTTATATAGCTGCGTTGAAATATTTAGTGTAGCAAACATTAATTTTACCAATTAAAAACCCTGTGCTTGGATGAAGAAACGGAGCAAGCACACTGTAAAATGTGTGTATTGTTATTATTATTTTATTGGGCTAATTATGATTATTCATTGGGCTGGTTTTATTGCAAAAACCCGGCAACAGTGACTAAGTGGAATTGAGAAAGAGTAAAGTCTGGTCAGTGTTGGTGGCTACGCTGTTTTTGTTCGTTTGTTTTTAGACACGATTTGCTTTTGTCGTATCTGAGGTATGGTTAACTAACCCACTATTATAACGAGATTTATAATGAGTTTGGATGTGTGACTGAAAAAAAATGAGTACGTGCTGGTGTGGAGAAATGTGTAGAGAAATACAAGTCTATGATTTGTAAGGATATATGAACTCTTGTTTTTATAATATTGTCTGTTCTTATTAAAATAAGAAAGAAAAATGCAGCCTTTTTTCATATTATTGTTACTGTACTGTTTCAAATATCCACATTGCCCCCTTATCTATGTAAGAATATGTGTACTCTTGTTTTCACACTGTATGTACACACAATTTAATGAAAAAACAATTGCAATAAAATGAAATGTAAACACACAACAGAACACTGCTAATTTATTCTATGGTAAACTCTGACTGCATGTCTATAATCTCAGTAACTGGACTCAGACAGCCGTATTCAAACATCTGCAGTTTAATCTCACTCATCTACACATCTGATTGAGGAGAGAAATCATCTCATTTACTCAGAGAAACACAGAAATAAACACTCTGACAGAACAGCAGGAATACAAAACCACACACCAAACTACTGTATCGAGTATATTTACCACGGTAAAGTGAACCGTGTGACAATAGCAGATGTTTAAGGCATTTCAGTCATGACCCAGACGCTCCTGTAGTTTATTATGCAGCAGTTTCAGTAATGCGAGTACAGCAAATCTTCATGTTACCCTGAAATACACATGTAGAAAGTGCCGAGGAGAGGGCGTTTGGGGTATACGCTATATATGGCACACTATTACCCTTCATAATCCTCCTCATAATCCATGTCTCAGTGTTTTATGAGTGATTGACAAAGCAGATCCTTCAGTTCCAGATACACCAGTGATTCTCAAACTCCTAAATCACAGGTGTTAAACTCAGTTCCAAAAGGGCCGCAGCTCTGCACAGTTTAGTTCCAACCCTAATTAAACACACCTGATCAAACTAATTGAATCCTTCAGGCTTGTTTGAAACCTACAGGTAAGTGTGTTAGAGCAGGGTTGGAACTAAACTGTGCAGAGCTTCGGCCCTCCAGGAATTGAGTTTGACACCCGTCTAAACTGATCATGACACTGACCGGTTTCTCCTTAAAGTCTGTGATGAGCTCAAGCTCCTGCATTTCAGATTATTTATTTACTCTTTTTATTTTTTATTTTTTGGTCAGAAATGCTTTGTTTTGAGCAATTAAATCAAATCAAAAACAATTAAAAAGCAATTAAATCATTTAGACAGAGCACTTTAAGATCATTCATTCTTCAGACTAGGCCTGCACGATGTTGGAAACAAACTGACATTGCAGTATTTTGTTTTTGTGCAATTAAATATTGGCATATGAATAGAATTTTCAGAAGATAACTCTATTTGGAAAGAATTCACAAACTTTAAATTGCTTGAGGTTATTTTTTAGAGTACATCTGCATAAAATGAACAATAATATATATAAATATAATGGCTATCAGCCAATCAGATTCAAGAACCAGACAGAACTGTTGTGTGTGTATATCAGCACCCGTACAGCCTCTTTACCCTTTCTGTGTATTACTCCGCCCATATACAGCCAGCAGAGAGCAGACACTACAGATCTGAAGTTTAAAAGATGCACGCTCAGCTGTTTAACTGTTAGCTTTTGATTTGAATCCGGAAGAAAGTAGTTCCTCATACAAAAGGGTTTTTGAGACTCACCATGTTTGATTTTGTTTTTATATGCACAATTAATCCGTCAAACTGTTGTATAAATGCAATATCACACGAGTAGCAGTGCGTTATGGCTGTATAACGGCACTGGTGGGGACTGGAGTGCCAATATACAGCCATATCGCACTGCTACTCGTGTGATATTGCTCATATATATATATACATATATATATATATATATATATATATATATATATATATATATATATATATATATATATGTATATATATATATATATATTTATATGTATATATAAATTAAAGCACAGGTGAACAGATAAGCTGTTGTACAAATGAACTTGAATTGAATTAAATAAAAATGAAATTGTGCTTTGTGCTTTATGGTTTTCGCTGGAGTCTAACAGTATTGAGGTTCAGATATTCAATAATCTATAATGCTCACTGTATAAATTATTTAACTGTGTTAAAGAAGCACCCGTCATCATTTCTTGTGTCGTAACGGTTTAACTTGAAATCTCTTGCTGTCCTGCGATGTGACTACTGCAGATTCACACACTGAGCGATATCAATGCTAAAACAATATATTATGCAGCTCTACTTTATTCCTATAATTACATATATATATATATATAAATAATACATTGTCTTGTTTTATATTAATATTAAAATATATTATTATATATATATATATAAATGCATTATTAAAGGAATATGTTGATGTTTCAGTAATGGCTGTTGCAAAAATATGACTCAAGTAAACAGAAGAAATAAGTTGAAGTGAGACGAATGATGTGGAAAGATGTGGTAATGGGGTGGGGAAAACAATGATAAGCTTGTGCTTTATCCCTGCTCCATTTCCATCATGATGAAATGTATTTAGTTTAAAGAATTGTTTTAAGTGTAGGATTTTTATTTTTTTTTTTTTGGTTTAAAATGAAATAAATCAAATCATCTGAAAATTGAGACACGTATTAGTTTCCAAATCCCATAGCCAGAAATGACCCATAAAGTGTGTGGCGTTCTCACTCTGAATGAATTTCTATTGATGGACTAAGAATACAGGAGTGACTGCATTCAGACAAGCACAATTATGGTAAACCTACAACTGAACACCTGAAGAATAAAACACACAGAAAAATAAAGGTGTTGAAGATTCCAGCCAAAGTCCAGAGCTCATCCTGACTCAGATGCTGCTTAGAGTAGTTTATTACACTAGTTTAGACTCGTCATAGCATCTCTAAACTGCTAATATCACATCTTCATTCATTCTCCTTCAGCTTATTCCCTTATTTATCAGGGGTGACCACAGTGGAATGAACAGCCAACTACTCCAGCATATGTTTTACACAGCGGATGCTCTTCCAGCTGCAACCAAGTACTGGGAAACACCCATACACACTCATACACTACGGCCAGTTTAGTTAATCAATTCCCCTATAGCTCATGTGTTTGGACTGTGGGGGAAACCGGAGCTCCCGGAGGAAATCCACGCCAACACAGGGAGAACATGCAAACTCCACACAGAAATGCCAAGTGACCAAGCTGAGACTTGAACCAGTGACCTTCCTGCTGTGAGGCGACAGTGCCACCTGTATGACACATTCTTAATGAGTCAATGTAAAATGGATAATTGATGACAGGGATTATTTGAATTATTGACTGATTAGTAAATAGTGCACACATGAACACCTCAGATGGAGACTATAATAGTTCTGCTCTCCACACCTGAAGATATTTGGGAGTTTATTTGTCCTCGAGCGTCTCCTGTGTGCAGCACTAGTGTCCTCCACATCTCCTGTTGTGTTCTGCTGTGATGTCTGACTGCTGTAGCTGTGGAATAACTCTAATCATTCAGCGGAGGGATATAGAGCTGTAATGCGCTCTAAACCTGCCGGAACTACTTTAGCTGAGCATTTATCTGACGGTAACCAAACACCTCAGAGTGATCACCAGATCATACTATTAATGGAAGGATGCTGTCCAGAACATTCTGCAAATTAATTAGGTTGTCAGATTCGACTGTTGATGGCAATTTCTGCTTCAAATGTTTGAGAATCACTGGTTAATGTGTGTGTGTGTGTGTTTGTGTGTGTGTGAACGTGTCATCAGAGCTGAGCAGGAGTGGTTTCTTGTTACTGCAGCTGTTGGATCTGCTCTGCTGTCAGAGAGTGTGTGTGTGTGTATGAGTTTGTGTGCGTGTGTATATGCTTGTGTGTGTGTATGTATATGTGTGTGTGTGCATGTATATGTGTGTGTATATGTGTCTATGCTTGTGTGTGTGTGAGTGTGTGCTTGTGTGTGTCAGAACTTGTCATAAGAGCTGAGCTGAAGTGCTTAGTTCTTGGATCTGCTCTGCTGTGAGTGTGTGTATGCTTGTGTGTGTGTGTATGTGTGTCTGTGTCTATGCTTGTAGTGTTTTCTCGTTGCTGCAGCTGTTGGATCTGCTCTGTTCTGAGTGTGTGTGTGTGTGTGTGTGCTGGTCAGAACTCATCATCAGAGCTGAGCAGCAGTGTTTTCTCGTTGCTGCAGCTGTCGGATCTGCTGATTGGCTCTGCTCGGCTCTGCTGTGTGTACTGCTGATAGGCTGGGGAGAAGTTGTGAATGGCGTCCTGCAGAATGTCTCCCGGGTTCATCGTCTCCTTCAGACTGCTGGAGATACTCATGGGGGCGCTGCGGCCTGACACACACACACACACACAAACACAGAAGCACTGTCACCATCGCTGTAATGAGCACACACTGTTACTATCACTGTGGACACACACACATTGTCTTGTATTATATGTGTATAATGCTGTATATCATGATATGAGCTGCAGTCATTCTCCCAGCATGTCATTTTGATCATCATGTGTGTTGTGAATATCATTTGAATAATCTGAAATATGTTTCAACACTATTAATAACTTTTTAAAGCAACACAAACATGTTATGTGTGTTAAAAGCCTGTTCATAGGAGGAACTATGAAATAATCCAGAGCAAACTCACCGAACTGGCCATAGACAGGAACACAATCTGAAGGAGACACAGAGGAGCACACAATAAAACACACAGAACAACTAACATAGAGGAAACACTTCAGTCTGACACATCAACCAGGGTTTGAAATTGCGACTGTTTTGGTTGCATATGCGCCCAAAATTTCATCAATGCCACCTCAAAATCTATTTGGGAGCATTTGTGTTGCCGTGCGACCTGTTTTCACTGCATAATACAGACAATTACGCGGAACACAGGCAGGCTTTTTTTCATAAGTTGTTTACATTTTAAAATGTTATACACACACTGTTTGCTATGCAATGCAAAAACTTTGAAGCTCAACATCTTAAAGTCATTCAGAGCGCAGATATAACCTTATAATTCCAAGATGACGAGTTTTAGCCTACCCATTTCACCTGTACCGCATGTCTTTGGACCCACGCCAAAGCAGGGAGAACATGCAAACTCCACACAGAAATGTCAACTGACCCAGCCGAGACTCGAACCAGTGACCTTCTTGCTGTGAGGCGACAGCACTACCTACTGCATCACCACATCGCCTGATTTGTTGAAAATATGTTTAATGAAATAGTTTGGCCTGAAGCACTGTTCATTTCTTTATTTCCTGAAATAAACTGAATTTGATTTTTACATGGCTTTATACACGCACCTTTCAACGTGTAACATTTTTTTTTCCTCTACTTTTCTCACCTTAAGGTGATGCTCATGTGACTTTGTCATTGAACAAATAAAAACAACATACTTGTTACGCAACATACTCAAAAAGGATGTTAAAGTTTTATAAACTTTTTATTACAATAAAATGGAGGGTGGCCTGTGTAATTTAATGAACGAACAAATTTTCCTATTATTTATTTTTTCTTTTCTTATCTATTTCTTATCTTTATTTCTTTCTTTCATTGATGCAGATGTGTAATCTGTGAATGGACCCGTATTAACCCGCGGTTATCTTCGGGGCCCGGTTTTTCAAAAGTAATCCACTATGATTTTGGATAATGGATTGAATCAAATCTTGAAAATGGGTTTTTCAAAAGGAAAAACGGATTACATAATCAGATTAGATCAAGTAATCCAATCTTGGTTTTAATCCGGATCAAACCTTTAGTTTGGGTTTTTCAGACCTTTTTTTGTAGGATCTGGATCACTTTGATCCAAAAAATCTGGATTAAACTGATCCCATCAGAAGGGTGGATTCAGCGTGGATTTCATGCCCAAAATGTAATGAAAACGTAAAAAATGTATAAAATAATACTATATTTGCATCATGCAGTATCTAACAAAATATCCTATATATTCATAAGGTTTCAATTGTATTTGTTCATCTGTCAGGCTATAGTGATTAGGTAGGCTTTAACGTTTTCAGTCTTTCTGTATAGGCCTACAGCAAAGTAGAAAGAGTTTGGCCTCATAAAATAATCCCCCAAACAGCTGTCAAAACTGACCAAAAACAATACATTTTATTCTGTCACTAATTGATACATATATTCATCACAATGGAAAATATTGTTCTTATTAGAATATTTATTAGTGATGCATGCAATGATTACAGAATAACCACTAAAAATGCAAAAAATGGCAATCACTGATTTCTGAAATGTCTTTCAACAATTGCAAAAAGAGACTGAAAGGGCAGAAGCACAGCTTCATCTGGCAGAGAACAACAGACTCTGACCAAACTGCAGCAAACTAAGGCCAGACTTGAGATCCGCCTCCTAAAGGCTACGCTCAGACAAGCTGCTCTCTCCACATCAGATGAGGAAGTCTGAAATTATTGTGGAGTTTTTGACATTAAGTCTTTTTTTATTCCATACATCTTTATTTGAAACTTGTTATAAATATCCTCACTGTACAGTGTTTGTGTTGTTGGTCTCAGATGAGCAGACTGCTGGAAGAGGATGGGCTGGGGTTTTTCTTGCTTTTAGTTTTTTTTTTTTTTTTTTTAATTTGTGTGTTTTCATTTTAAATAAAAATAAAGTTATATTTTTCCCCACGCTGGCTATTCTACTTGTTGCTCTGTACATATCTATAGTTCTACATTGTGATTTTCTATCCTGTTTGAGCAGTGGTTATCTAGATTTAGTGATAGTGAAAAGTTCCTATCCGGATCAGATTGATCCAATCCAATGTTGCTTTGAAAAACTGGATTAAAAAGTAAGCTGGATTACGTGATCACGGATCGCAAAAACAGGATTACTAAATCCGGATCAATTTTATACGGATTAAACCTTTTGAAAACCCGGGTTTTGGAACTGACACACTGGCGGTAAACATGTTTTGGGTTAATCAACCGAGAGTTCAGGGTTTAGCAGGTGGTAAATTAACCCAGCTTTCTGGAATACCCCCCGGGACAGTTGTGTTCTGTTTGTTTTGGTTTAGATGCAGGCTCCATGAGGAGCTGTCGTCCATTTGTATTATTTTTGAATTATTAAACATGATTTAAAACTTTGTCGGTTCTCTGCCTCCTTCTTCCTGTAAACTTACAATATGTTTATAAGTTTGTGCGTGTGAGTGAATCTGTGTGTGTGTGAGTGATATGTATATGTGTGTATGTGTTACCCTGCAGGTCGAGTCTCTTGTCCATGTAGACTTTATAAGTGAAGGCGTGTCTGAGCGCCAGAGCGGCGAAGAACATCTCGCAGCAGATGATGAAGTTCTGGTAACCGGCGGCAACCGTGCCCTCGCCCACACTCACATCCGGAGAGCTGATGCGCGCGAACGCTCCACACTTCTCCAGAATTGCCAGCAGCATACCTGAAACACACACACACACACACACACACACACACACACACACACACATCAACTTTAACCACACCATCACTCAACACCATACACACACTACAAGATCAACACAGGTGAACATCTGAGTCAGTCAGTCATGTCTGAGTGTGTGTGTGTGTGTGTGTGTGCATATGATGAAGATGATGATGATGATACTAGAAATGAGGATGAAGGCTCACCCTGCCAGAAGGAGAGGAAGATGACAGACTTGACCATCAGGAACTTGAGCATGGGGCTGTAGGGCTCCAGCAGCTCAGCGGTGGCCGAGTAGAAGAGGAAGAGCGCAAACAGAGACAGACTCACCGACACGTTATAGATGATCATCACGTACAGATAGCCACCAGCAGCACTGCACACACACACACACACACACACACACACACACACACACAGAGAAAGAGAGAGAGAGAAAAAACACTTCAATAACTTTATCAGTATATCTGTATATAAATGTGTGTGATTGTGTGTGTGTGTGTGTGTGTGTATTTGCAAAGTCTGTGTGCTGTGTCATACGAGTATGAGCATGTGATATACATACGTGAGCGTGTGTGTGCAAAGTGTTTGAGTGTGTTTGTATTTGAGTCTTTTGCAATGTGTGTTTGTGTGAGCATGTGACATGCATGTGTGTGTGTGTGTGTGATGATTGCAAGAAAGACAGTGTGTTCATATTTGAAATATTTGCAATGAGTGTTTGTGTCTGTGTGTGAGCATGGAATATGAATGTGTGTGTGTGCGCGTAAGAGAGAGAGAGCATGTGTGTATATAGTGTTTGAGTGTGTGTTTGTATTTGAGTTTTTTTGCAATGCGTGTGTTTCGGATATGTGTGTGAGTATGTGGTATGTATGTGTGTATCCATGTTTGTGTGCGAGTATGAGATATGCATGTATGAGTGTATATGTTTGTGTGTGATCAAGTTTGCAATGTGTGTGTGTGTAATTGAGTGTGTGCATAGTGTTTGAGTGTGTTTGTATTTGAGTTTTTGGCAGTGTGTGTTTGTGTCTGTGTTATGTGCGAGCATGTGAGTGATGCATGTGTGTGTGATGTTTCCACATTCTGTGAGTATTTGTGTGTGTAAGAGAGAGGATATGTGTGCTGAGTGTGTGCAGAGTGTTTGATTTTGTGTTTGGATTTGAGTCTGTGTTGTGTGTGTGAGCATGTGAGTGATGCATGGGTGTTTGTGTGTGATGTGTACAATGTGTGTGAGAGTGTGCATAGTGTTGGAGTGTGTATTTGGTCTTTCACAATGTGTGTTTGTGTGTGTGCGCATAAGAGTGTGTGTGTGTGTGTGTGTGTGTGTGTGTGCATAGTGCTCAAGTATGTTTGTATTTAAGTTTTTTTGCAATGTGTGTGATGCGTGTCTGATATGTGTGTGAGACTGTGATATGTATGTGTGTATATGTTTGTGTATGAGTATGAGATATGCATGTATGTTTGTGTGTGATCATGTTTGCAATGTGTGTATTATTGTGAGTGTAAATAAGTGTGTGTTTGTATTTGACTGTGTGTGTGTGTGTGTGAGCATGTGATATGTATGTGTGTATTTATGTATGTGTGTGAGTATGAGATATGCATGTATGTTTGTGTGTGATCATGTTTACAATGTGTGTGTTATTGTGAGTGTAAGTGCATAGTGTTTGAGTGTGTGTTTGTATTTGACTTTGTGTGTGTGTGTCTGGTATGTGATATGTATGTGTGTATCTATGAGTATGAGATATGCATGTATGTGTGTGTGTGATCATGTTTGCAGTGTGTGTATTATTGTGAGTGTTTGTGTAAGTGAGTGTGTGTTTGTTTTTTTTGCAATGCGTGTTTGTGTTGTATGTGAGCATGTGACATTCACTGATGTGTTGTATATGTCATGTGACATTTGCAATTTGTCTGTAAGTGTGTACAATATGTATGTGTGTATGAGAGAGCGTGTTTGTATTTTATTTGCAATGAGTGTTTGCGTTTCTGTTATGTGTGTGTGTGTGTATGTGCGTGATGTTTGTGTGTGGTGTGTACAATGTATGTGATGTGTTTGTGATGTATGCAAGTTTGTGAGGTAGTGTGTGTGTGTGGATGGTGTGTTGTACAGTGTGTTGTTGTGGACACACTTGAAGTCTCCGTCTCTGTATTTCCCGAAGGCCTGCAGGATCACTGTAATGATGGCCATCAGCGGCTTCACCACACAGAACTGCAGCGTCGCCTGAAAACACACACACACATCAGAGAGATAATTACAAACACCACACACACACACACACACACACACACACACACACACACACACACACACACAATTGAAATAAAAACAATACATTCAGGAAATGTATCATAATTCATCAACATTCTTTGAGTTTAAAGCGATCTAAGCAGAGTGAATGTCGAAAGTTTCTGACCTGCTTGCAGAAGCGCAGGAAGCCGATGGAGTAGGTTCTGCCCCACAGACAACATGTGCCGTAAACAAAGCTGGACCTGAGTGAGAACAGGCAGTGAGCGAGAGCTGAACTGAGCTGATGGATGAAGATGAAGATGAAGACTGAACTCACTGGATGGGTTTCCCTCTGATCTCCGCCATGATGGCACTCTCACCGCCCAGATACTCATAACACAAGCTCAGGAAGTTGTAGATCACAAACGCTGAGCGCAACACACACACACACACACACACACACACACACACACACACACACACACAACACAGACAGACAGACAGACAGACAGACAGAGAGACAGAGAGACAGAGAGAGAGAGAGAGAGAGAGACAGAATTCAACATTTTAACAAGGCTTTAATACATTTTGAAAGAATTATAATACAACCAGATATTAAAGTTTGAGGACAAACTTTATGGTGGATTTAAAAGCCGAGTCTGAAAGTTTGAAGTGGTTTTAAAGTGTAAATAGCATGTTAGTATGATTCTAGCTTGAACTAGCATGTTACTAGCATGAACTAGCATGTTATTAGCATGACTCTAGCATGAATTAGCATGTTACTAGCATGAATTAGCATGCTATTAGCATGACTAGCATCAATTAGCATGTAACTAGCATGAACTAGCATGTTATTAGCATGACTCTAGCATGAATTAGCATGTTACTAGCATGAATTAGCATGTTATTAGCATGACTAGCATCAATTAGCATGTTACTAGCATGATTCTAACATGTTACTAGCATGATTCTAGCACAAATTAGCATGTTACTAGCATGATTCTAGCATGAATTAGCATGTTACTAGCATGAATTAGCATGTTACAAGCATGACTCTAGCATGAATTAGCATGTTACTAGCATGATTCTAGCATGAATAAGCATGTTACTAGCATGATTCTAGCACAAATTAGCATGTTACTAGCATGATTCTAGCATGAATTAGCATGTTACTAGCATGAATTAGCATGTTACTAGCATGAATTAGCATGTTATTAGCATGACTAGCATCAATTAGCATGTTACTAGCATGAACTAGCATGTTATTAGCATGACTCTAGCATGAATTAGCATGTTACTAGCATGAATTAGCATGTTATTAGCATGACTAGCATCAATTAGCATGTTACTAGCATGATTCTAACATGTTACTAGCATGATTCTAGCACAAATTAGCATGTTACTAGCATGATTCTAGCATGAATTAGCATGTTACTAGCATGAATTAGCATGTTACAAGCATGACTCTAGCATGAATTAGCATGTTACTAGCATGATTCTAGCATGAATAAGCATGTTACTAGCATGATTCTAGCACAAATTAGCATGTTACCAGCATGATTCTAGCACAAATTAGCATGTTACTAGCATGATTCTAGCACAAATTAGCATGTTACCAGCATGATTCTAGCACAAATTAGCATGTTACTAGCATGATTCTAGCATGAATTAGCATGTTACTAGCATGAATTAGCAAGTTACTAGCATGAATTAACATGTTACTAGCATTAATTAACATGTTATTAGCATGAATTAGCATGAATTAACATGTTACTAGCATGAATTAGCATGTTATTAGCATGACTAGCATGAATTAGCATGTTATTAGCATGATTCTAGCATGTTATTAGCATGACTCTAGCATGAATTAGCATGTTACTAGCATGATTCTAGCATGAATTAGCATGTTACTAGCATGAATTAGCATGTTACAAGCATGACTCTAGCATGAATTAGAGTGTTACTAGCATTATTCTAGCATGAATTAGCATGTTAATAGCATGTTACTAGCATGACTCTAGCATGAATTAGCATGTTACTAGCATGATTCTAACATGAATTAGAGTGTTACTAGCATTATTCTAGCATGAATTAGCATGTTACTAGCATGATTTTAACATGAATTAGAGTGTTACTAGCATTATTCTAGCATGAATTAGCATGTTAATAGCATGAATTAGCATGTTACTAGCATGACTCTAGCATGAATTAGCATGTTACTAGCATGATTCTAACATGAATTAGCGTGTTACTAGCATTATTCTAGCATAAATTAGCGTGTTACTAGCATGAATTAGCATGTTATTAGCATGACTCTAGCATGAATTAGCATGTTACTAGCATGATTCTAGCATGAGTTAGCATGTTACTAGCATGATTCTAGCATGAATTAGCATGTTACTAGCATGATTGTAGCATGAATTAGCATGTTACTAGCATGATTCTAGCATGAATTAGCATGTTACTAGCATGGTTCTAGCATTAATTAGCATGTTAATAGCATGAATTAGCATGTTACTAGCATGATTCTAGCATGAATTAGCATGTTACTTGCATGAATTAGCATGTTACTAGCATGATTCTAGCATAAATTAGCATGAATCTAGTATGAATTAGCATATTAGCATGATTCTACCATGAATTAGCATGTTACTAGCATGTTTCTAGCATAAAGCAGCTTGTTTCTAGCATGGATTAGCATGTTAATAGCATGAATTAGCATGATGTTAGCATGACTAGCATGTTTCTAGCATGACTAGCATGTCAGTAGCATGTTAAAACTATTAGCATGTGTTAGAATAGCTAGTCATAGTCTATGGAACAGTTGCTAGGGTGCTGAAATTGGTTGCTAGGGAGTGGTTAGTAAGTCTAAAGGTCATCAGTGATTGGCTGCTGGCTAGGCTGAGTTAAATGAGGCCGGACTCTAGTCTCGTAATATCATCAACTGAATAGGCGCTAATATATCAATTATAATATCTTTATATTACGCTGGCTCAGTGGTTAGCACTGTGGGCTCACAGCATAAAGGTCGCTGGTTCGAGTCCCAGCTGGGCCAGTTTTTTATATCTGTGTGGAGTTTGCATGTTCTCTCCGTGTTGGTGTGGGTTTCCTCCACAGACCAAACACAGGCGCTATAGGGGAACTGATGAACCGAATTGTCTGTGGTGTGTGAGTGTGAATGCAAGAGTGTATGGGTGTTTCCCAGTGCGGGGTTATGGCTATAAACATGTTTATATTGGTTTTGTGAATTTTCTCACACTAGATTTTAAATATCCTAAACACCAACAATACTGATACTGACATCTAAGAAACTCTTTTAATGTCATGAGAGCTGTAAGAGTGCTGGCAGTGTCCTCACCTTCATAGCAGTCTCTGACGGTGTCGAAGTAGACGTAATACTCCTCATTAGTGAAGAACAGCAGACTGAGCCACGAGTCGAAGGCGTAGATGGGCACGATGAAGAGGATCCGCACGATGTGCCGCTGCTCGTTGGGTGTGTTGTAGTAGCGCAGGTGCATGTAGATCTGACACACACACACACACACACACAGTTTCATTATCATATCATAATAATGCACATATTCATCATTACACCCATTCAGCTCTGTATTAATATGCAGCACACACTGAGACTGAAGAGTTGTGAAGACTGAAGAGTGTCTGCAGGTCTAATAGATGCAAATCTAACCGTATGTTCACACTGAAAGCGGCGAGAGTGTCCAAGGTCGCTCTGGCCGCCCTGGCAACAACACTAGCCCCTTTCACACAGTGATACCGGTAAATTTCTGGAAAATTTCCGGAAAGACTTTACCGGTATATTGAAAAAAGCGCTGTTCACACAGGCGAGGACGTTACGGAAATTTTCCAGAAAAGAGCATTCACACATCCATCCCAAAATACCGGTAAATTCTGACATCATTCACCACAAATGAGCTTTAAACGGCTGCGCTTGTATTTGTAAACATTTGAGTAAATTACAAACTCTGTGGATGATCAATATTGTGAACAACTTTCGCAGGATCACTTTCGCATGTCGAGATGTTCATAATATGTGCGTGTGCAGGCGCTCACAGGCAGTACACAGGCACACGCAAAGCTTGAAGGTAAACAAACAACGGCTTATCATAAGCATCTCATCGATGATTATTTACACAGTTGACATTAAGAAGAACATATAAACGTGATCTGACTAACTTCTAGCAGCTAAATGTGTCTGGAAAAATATTCAAAGGCTTTTATCCTCACAAACCGCGCGGACGTAAATGCGTCTGACTGTTGTGATTGGCTAAAGCAGACGTCTCACGTCAGCACGTTCTAGACGTGCACGCGCTTATTACGGCAATCTTCCTTCTGCATTCACACAGCGCAGCATTCCGGCAAATTACCGGTAATGTTACAACGTCTCTTTCCGGAAAATAGCCAGAACGAATTTACCGGTATTTTCAAAAAGGACCTGTTCACACATACAACCTTTCCGGAAAATTGCCGGCAATTTTCCGGAAAGGTCTGTATGTGTGAAAGGGGCTATAGTCTGCCTTCAGCTCCGGTGGCGAGAGCGTCAAAACTCGCTACATTGATCTCATATTTAAAGGAGCCGTTGCAGCATGTCAGTTACATTCCTGCATAAACATGTTTCTAGCGTGAAAATGTTGCGCACTTATCAAATTCATTTAACAATGGAAGATCAAGTTGCGTGTGGTGTGGCTTTGCTCTTTTTATCCAATATGTGTCCATATGTCTGTTTTGTACTGTCACGTCGCGTGAGATTCCCCCTTTTTTAAGATAAATATATAACAATAATGAGCATCAGTAACTCGCCAGTAACTTATTTGATGCATGATCCTGTAAGAAAACATTGTGAATAATTGGAAATCTGTCGACCGCAATCATCAAACCCTTGGGAACAACTGTGGGCGGAACCAAAGTTCAATGGTCTGTGTTCTCTGAACTCCTCTCAAGCGGTGGACGTCTTCATTCTGATTGCTTGCCGAACCGCATCATAGCTCATTACCATAAAGTTGACTTCATTTCAACTCTCCTCGACATCCACGCGGGCGAAGATGCGCAATGCTGCTCCTCGCCGCTTATCGCCACCATCTCTCATTGAAAATGAATGACTTGCAGCTACTTTGACGCTCTCGCCGCTTTCAGTGTGAACGTACGGTAAGAGTGAGTCTAGAACTGCAGGTACAGTTTGTGTCTTCAAGATGAACTTTCTATTACTGTTCAAAATCAGATTTTAAGAACATGAATTATTTATTAATTTTCCTTCAGCTTAGTCTTTATTTCAGAATTCGCCACAGCGGAATGAACCACCAACTAATCCAGCATATGTTTTACACAGCAGGTGCCGCAACCCAGTACTGGGAAATGTAATGTAATGTGTATTTATATAGCGCATTTATTGTGTATGGTCATACACCCAAAGCGCTTCACAATCATGAGGGGGGTCTCTCCACACCACCACCAGTGTGCAGCATCCACTTGGATGATGCAACAGCAGCCACAGGACAACGGCGCCAGTGCGCTCCCCACACACCAGCTATAGGTGGAGTGGAGAGACAGTGATCGAGCCAATTCGGTGGAAGGGGATGATTGGGAGGCCATGATCGTAAGGGCCGATAGAGGGACTTTGGCCAGGACACCGGGGTTACACCCCTGCTCTTTCACGAGAAGTGCCATGGGATTTTTAATGACCGCAGAGAGTCAGAACCTCGGTTTAACGTCTCATCCGAAAGACAGCGCCCACTGACAGTGTAGTGTCCCCTTCACTTTTACTGGGGCATTAGGACTCACACAGACCACAGGTTGAGCGCCCCCTGCTGGCCTCACTAACACCACTTCCAACAGCAACCTAGTGTTCCCTAGTGGTCTCCCATCCAGGTACTGACCAGGCTCAGCCCTGCTTAGCTTCAGTGAGTAACCGGTCTTGGGCTGCAGGGTGACATGGCTGTGGGAAAGAACATCTGTCTTGGGGAGAACATGTCTTAGGGCGACACGGTGGCTCTCAGCAAGAAAGTCGCTAGTTCGAGCCCCGGCTGGGCCAGTCTGCATTTCTGTGTGGAGTTTGCATGTTTCCCTGTGTTAGCGTGGGATTCCGATTTCCACCGCAGTCTTAACACATGCGCTATAGGGGAATTGATGAACTAAATTGTCCATTGTGTATGAGTGTGTGTGTGTGAATGAGTGTGTATGGGTGTTTCTCAGTACTGGGTTGCAGCTGGAAGAGCATCCGCTGTGTAAAACAAATGCTGGAATAGTTGGCGGTTCATTCCGCTGTGGCGACCCCTGATGAATGAAGGGACTAAGCTGAAGAATAATGAATGAGTAAATAGAAAATGCTTGAAATGTGCCTGCAACTCTGGAACAAGCAGATGCGTGTCAGTGGAGCAGGTGGATCCTTTGTGTGTTTTACATGTTCAGATAAGCTGAACTATAACAACACACACACACACACACACACATGCAGTTCTAAATACTGTTGCTAAGCAACAACCTCTGCTCTATGATGTCATGCCACCTGTTGCCAGAGCAACAGCTCATCCCCGTCATCCTTTCATTTATTTATATATTACGCATTATTAGTCACACTGTCCAACACACAGCTAACACAGCATCCTGTAAGATTTAAGACAATGCTGTATTACAAATGTCTGCTATAAAGTCTTTATTATTCAGATGAAACAGACTAGCATTATGCAGTAATGCAGTGTCGCATCAATATTTAATGCACAACTAATAGAAAAAAGTGAATAAAATCATTCATTCATTCATTCATTTTCTTGTCAGCTTAGTCCCTTTATTAATCAGGATTCGCCACAGCGGAATGAACCACCAACTTATCCAGCACATTTTTAACGCAGCGGATGCCCTTCCAGCTGCAACCCATCACTGGGAAATGAATAAAATCACAATAATATTATTCAACAGACTTCAACAGTAACAAATACATTAAAACTTACAAGAAATATCATACTTTAATGTAATAATCATATATATTTACATGCAATATTAGCATACCTGAAGTGAAAATATAGCAAATGCCCACCATAACAAGGGATACCTCTTATATATCCCCCAAATAAATCCCCAAATGACTAAATATGGAGCTGTTTCATTGTAAATAAACCGTTAAATGGTCAGTAATATGTTTTATTATTATTATTTACAAATTAAAAAATGAATAGTAGACATTAGCAAACAGTTCAGGTTATTAAAATGAATAGCTCTTATAAAGAAACAGAACTTCAGTTCATTCGCCTCTTGCCATCTCTACCGGGTTTAAACAACGCCGGCTGATGAAAGCATGATGAACAACCAACCGCAGCGTGCGTCTTCCATGACTGCCTGAGCCCACTTCCTTCTCTCTCTTGCTTTTCTTCTCTATCACGCCAAGCCCCGCCTTCTTTCCAAGGAACAGACGTCATCCATGATAAAAGTATTACTGAGATGGCTGACTTACTCAAAACTTGATTATAATTTTATTCATAACATCGTCACAAAGTTATTAAATCTCATTAACCGTTTCTTTACTGTATAACTCACACATTCTGATTAAAGAGCAGCGAATTAATCTCATTTATTTAGATTGTTCGTTTAATTGCATTAACGTAATTAACAGAGGTGTCACTTTAAAAATGCACACATCTAATGTTATGATGAAGGCATTCGACTGCTTTCCTGACTTTTGAAACTCATTTAGGACAAAATTAGTTGTGTTAAAAAAACACCAAGATCAGACAATTATTATTATTATTATGTGTGTATGTCTGTTCAAACACGACCCAAAACCCACTTTCACTCTGCATTAAATCGCGTGTACAGAATCTGTTTGGGAAACAGCGTCTGTTTATCACTATGAAGTGCGTCAGCTGACAGTCACGCACTGCTATATGACTGTTAGAGGATTGCATAGTAGTGGCGACGACACCTGTAATGAAAATGAAAGGGAACCCCACTGTTTCAGGGTTTCTGCAGATTTCACCAAGTTAAATTTAAGATTTTAAAGACATTTTTAAGACCCTTTTGAAAAAAAAAATGTAAGGATTTGTTTTTTAATACCCCAGTTAAAAAAGATTTTCACTCGCCCAATCAAATAATGATTAAAAATTAATACATTTAATAATGCAATAATAATAATTTAGTTTAAATATTTATTATTACTTTTCAAATATATCCATTCACAAACCCAATAACCCTTACCAACAATAGAACAAAGCACACCTGCCATTTACTTTAGTCTAGTAATTTAATAATAACAAATTTAGGTCAAGTCAGTTTTCTCAGCAGTAAATACATGAAGAACTTCTATGCAAATGTTACTGTAAGGAAAGTAATTAAATGCTATTTTTAAGTTTTAAGTTTTATTAAGATAAATTGTTGGTGACTGCATGGGTGTTAATGGCCATACATGAAAAAATGAGAATTAAGACACGTTTAAAAAGATTTCAGACCTACAACACAATATTTTAGTAGATTTAAGACTTTTCAAGGCCTAAAATTTAGCGTTTAATATTTAAGACATTTTCAGACTTTTTAAGACCTTGCTGACATCCTGCGTTTTTATATTTATCTTCAAAGTGTTTTCATGCCTAACAGGGCTCGAAATTAACCTTTTTGCTTGGTAGCACCGGTGCTCCTAACTTTAAAAATGTAGGCGCATCAGCCAAGATTTAGTCGCACCACCAATTATGAGCACCGTTACTACAAGTGTTATACAAACAGATTTATAGCATTTGAAATCAACACTAATCAAACTAACAAGCAAACAAAAAAATTAATACATATGCAAGCGTGAGGAAAATATGTCTCAACGAAATCCTGTTATCACAAGAAAATAGATTTTTAAAACAGAACTGAGTGACCAAAGCATACACGGAGCACTCACCGGCCCTGCACGCACTGCTTGAATTAATGTGTTAACGGTATAACTGTGCTGTTCTCACGGGTGCTGTCTGATATTGCACTGATGCTTTTGACACATACTGTACCTTATTATATGCATATGTCATGTTAATAGCAACACCGGGCTTTTTATGATTAGTGATGTTAGTTTGCTCAGTGCAAGCTCGTTTGCGATGATGTACCTTACGTGGTGTTAAATTTGACATGTAGCGGCCACTTGCACGGCGGACAGCATCTGGCGATTATATGAAGGATTAAACAGAAGCTCTCGTGCTAGATGTGGCAAACAGTTACCTGAAAACTCCATCCCACAGACTTTTCATAGCGGACTTGAAGCAATGGAAGTCTTTTATCCACTCTTGGAAAAGTGTAGGTGGTGGAATAACATTCAGCACATGATCACTAGTAAGATGTGTCATTATTTGTAACTAGATGGTTTCTAAAACTAAATCTGTCAGTGTTATCTTCATTCTCATCTTCAGCGCTTTAGTTTTCTGCGCGCGGTAGTAGCTCTCCCTGTCATCCCATGCCAGAAGGCGCTGACTGAGTGATTGACAGCTGATATTAACCAATCATTCGCGTTCAGTGCTAGAGCAGTGGTGGGCCAATAAGAAGAGCGCGAAGGCGGGGCAAGCATTACGGATTTGGCTTTGTTTACTGCAGCAAGTTGACATGACAACTGTTTTAAACCATTCCCGAGCGCTGCGTTTCACGTTCCAAGTGCAGACAAAGAGCTTAGAGATGCATCCTGCGTGAATGTCTCCCGAATCCGCGCATGTGGGGAACATTTTGCAGTAAAAACTGGTCGCACACAACAATTTTAAGCACTCGCAGAAATGCTCCCAAATATATTTTAAGGTCGCAGAGATAAAATTTAGGGCGCATATGCGACCAAAATGGTCGCAGTTTCGAGCCCTGCCTAAATAAAATTAAAGCACAGAACAGACTCACATTCAAGAGCGAGGAGCATCCCCTGGTTATTTGGCGGTATGGGTTGTGTATAGGGAGGCTCGGCTCTTTAATGTTTATTGCCAACCTTCATAGAAAGACTGAAAATACGGGAGAAATTCTTTTACAGGATGACAGCGGGATAGAACTGTAAAATACAGGAGAATCCCGGGAAACATGGGAGGGTTGAATATTACTATTACCCAATAGAATGCATATAAAGAAATTAATTTAACAAATTATTCACCAGATTATAAGTACAATCTCCATTTAGTAAATCCTATTAATCACTATTAGCTCCATATAATCAAAACTGAACACTTACTTTGCTCTCATGACATGATTTAATGATTAATATATAATAAAAAGCCTTTTTTTCTTTTATGTAGCACTAATTAAACTGAATTAAATAAGTAAATGGAAGAACGATTCATTTCTACTTGCATGGACAGAAAATAGACCCTTCTTTGATAAAATAACCCCAATCTTACAACAGTGACATTAAGAGCTAATCCCAATTCTACACCTTAGCCCTTCCCCTCAGTTTGCACGTTCACATGAAGGGGTAGGGGTGTCCCATTTCTCTTTAGCTTGAAGGCGTAGGGCTAAGGGGAAAGGGGTGAACAGACATTTTTCAGGACCACACTCGAAACCAAGAGTAAAACTACAGCAACTGGAATAACTACAGCAGTCACGATCGTCTGATGTCACATGAAGCAAGAGATCACGATGGCATGATGACATGTGCAGGTGCTGTAGTGCTGTCCTATTTCTTAGTGGTAAATTTTGAAGCCCTTCCCCTTAACTCTCGGGTTTAAGGGCCATGGGGAAGGAGTCGAGGTACAAAAATAGAATTGGGATTGGGCCTAAGTGTGCGTAATGGAGGTGTATGAGTGTGCTGTACCTGTTGGCAGGTGAGCAGCAGGGCCGTCCAGGTGAAGATGCCCGAGATGCCCTGAGCGGCGGGAGTCATGAGGAAAATGGGCGTCTCTGGGGTCAAAACTGGCCCTGATCTGTTGTGACTCTCAGGGGCCACCGTCACGACCCCGGGCCCTGGCGCCATGGCAACCAGAGACCCGTTCCCAGTCAACGACACCGCCCTCCGCCACAGCTGAGCCATCTACAGACCACAGCCAATCAGAACACTGGACACACCAGGGGGAGGAGCCAACCCTGACCATCAAAACAGAAGAGAGCGAAGAGTTATTATTTAGAGTTATTATTTATCTAGCATTTAAATAAAAGGCCTTCGTTAAACATAATCAAACCATCCAGATACAAGGAGTACCACAATATTACAAACAAGTGATTTAAAGCAAAGAATTCAAAACATGAAGATGAACATAAAGCACTTTGAGGAAAAGAACTACAATCCCATGAATCATTTCATTGGCAATCTAATTAATCTACAAACACCGGCCACTTTATTAGGTACACCTTACTAGCTCCAGGTTGGACCCCTTTTGCCTTCAGAACTGCCTTAATCCTTCATGGCAGAGATTCAACAAGGCCCTGAAAAAATTCCTCAGAGATTTTGCTCCATATTGACATGATAGCATCACACAGTTGCTGCAGATTTGTCGGCTGAACATCCATGATGCCAATCTCCCGTTCCACCACATCACAAAGCTGCTCTATTGGATTGAGATCTGGTGACTGTGGAGGCCATTTGAGTACAGTGAACTCATTGTCATGTTCACCAGTCTGAGATGATTGAGCTTTATAACATGCTGTGTTATCCTGCTGGAAGTGGCCATCAGAAGATGGAGACACTGTGCTCATAAGTGATGGACATGGTCAGCAGCAATACTCAGGTAGGCTGTGGTGTTGACACCATGCTCAATTGGTACTGATGAGCTCAAAGTGTGTCAAGAAAATCTCCCCCACACCATTACACCCCCACCACCAGCCTGAACCGCTGATACAAGGCAGGATGGATTCATGCTTTCATGTTGTTGAGGCCAAATTCTGACTTGACCGTCCGAATGTGGCAGCAGAAATGGAGACTCATCAGAGCAGCAACGTTTCTCCAATCTTCTATTGTCCAGTTTTGGTGAGTCTGTGTGAATTGTAGCCTCAGTTTCCTGTTCTTAGCTGACAGGAGCGGCACCCGGTGTGCTCTTCTGCTGCTGTAGCCCATCCGCCTCAAGGTTGGATGTGTTGTGCATTAAGTGATCTCCTCTGACCTCTGGCATCAACAAGGCATTTGCGCCCACAGAACATTTCCTCTTTGTCGGACCATTCTCTGTAAACTCTAGAGATGGTTGTGCGTGAAAATCCCAGTAGATCAGCAGTTTCTGAAATACTCAGAGCAGCCCGTCTGGCACCAACAACAACTCAAAGTCACTTAAATCCCCTTTCTTCCCCATTCTGATGCTCGCTTTGACCTGCAGCAGATCGTCTTGACCATGTCTACATGCCTAAATGCATTGAGTTGCCGCCATGTGATTGGCTGATTACACATTTGAGTTAACGAGAAGTTTCACAGGTATACCTCATAAAGTGGCCAGTGAGTGCATATTAATACACTATTGACAAGAGGTTGTAAATAACCAATCTAAATGGTAGTGCTAAAGATAAGAACTCTCTGATTAATGTAACTTCCTGAACAGCATTATGGGTAACAGTTGTTTTCTGTGCATGTTCCATTGTTTTACTATAAAAACAACTAAAAATATGAAGAACTAAACCAAAAATAATGGGTTCAACAAAAGCTCATACAACAGATCAATAACCTTGAAGCAGTTATAGAAATCAAATAACTGAATTAACAGTAACAAATAATTTAACAGGGGTGACGCGGTGGCGCAGTGGGTAGCACTGTCACCTCCCAGCAAGAAAGTCACTGGTTCGAACCTCAGCTGGGTCAGATAATGTTTCTGTGTGGAGTTTGCATGCTCTTCCCGTGTTGGCGTGGGTTTCCTCCTCAGTCCAAACATATGCGATATTGGTGAATTGGGCAGGCTAAGTCGGCCATAGTGTATGTGTGTGAATGAGTGTGTATGGATGTTTCCCAGAGATGGGTGGCGAGTGGAAGAGCATCTACTGCGTCAAACATGTGCTGGATAAGTTGGTGGTTCATTCTGCTATGGTGGCCCCTGATTAATAAAGGGACTAAGCCAAAAATGAATGAATGAATGAATGAATGAATGAATGAATGAATGATATAACAGTGTGGAAATAAAATGCATAAAACTCTTTTTGCATTTCTTGCATTCACTCAGATTAACTGACTAACTCAGTTCTACTTCCAGAGCTTAAATAAAAGTGAAATAGAAACTGTAAAAAGACATCTATAGGGAAATTAGCAAAAAAATATTACAAATGGTAGAAAAGATGCAACTAAATCAATACAACTTCAACTGAAACTAATGTTAAATATTGAAATAGGTCAATGATGGTAAAACAATGCTGAAATGATCTAAATGAGCTTATTGAGAAGTGAAACGGCTGCTGTTTTCCCTGATATAAAGATAAACAGTCTATGAATCACAGAAAGAGTTTCTTAAACACTTTCCTAAAGCCTCATATTGTAAAAACTAGCAATTTTGTCAAGTCTACACCAGGGCCGGAGTGGGACTCATTTTCAGCCCTGGAGTTTCAAGCCAGACCGGCCCACCTCAGTTCACGACTGACTATATTAAAATAAGGTCATTTTTAGTTCAGTTTCTAATGACACTATCACGTCTTTTTCAAGATAACAGCAGCTTTAGAACTTCAAATGATCAACAACCCTAACAGTATTATATGTTTTAACAATATAAATAGAAAATAAAAAAATAATTTTCCAGGTGAGATTCGAACACGGGTCGGACGGCATAGCAATGCAAAGTGTTTACCACTGGTCCACTATAGCGTTAAAGCAACAAGTATCAAAATAAATATTGCACTGTGACCCGCAAGACTCACAGTATTACTTTCTATTGACGGCTTAATCTTTTTCTTTCCTTTTTAGATTTCTGATCAAGTTATGTCAGATTTATTATTGTAGTGAATCATCTGATTTTCATTGAGCAGGTGTAATCTTCATTAATATTAATTATTCGAATTCGCTGTTTGGGGTCGAATGATGATAGTTAACATTACATCATCATTAACGTTAGTTAACCTGCAGGCTGCATTTTGCTCACGGGGCTGCGAATAAATAAATAAGAAGAGCGGCGCTGCGGCAAAATAATGAATAAAAAGAGTGAAGCTATGGTCAAATAAATAAATAGATGAAAAAAGTGCGACTGCTGAGAGTGCAAGCAGCTAGGGACACTAACCAAAAAACGGACCGGCTCACGGGAATCCTCCCGGTGCTCCTGATTAGCCAATCCGGGCCTGGTCTACACTATAAAAATGTTTCTTGTTTTACCCAATGCAGAGCCAAATATAGACAAACGCAATAGTTAGGTTTAAAAAAAAAAAAATAAATAAAAGTCTTTTTTTTTTTTTTATTATTACCCCAAGGTTAGTTTTGAGCACATTCAACCCAGTGTAAGGTAAAAAAAAAATAGCCATTTTTATAGCAGTGTTTCCCAACCCTGTTCCTAAAGGCAATCCAAAGTACACAATTTGGATGTCTCCCTTATCTGACCTATTTATTTTGGGTTTTGGCATCCCTTCAGACATTCTAAAAAGTGGATTCAGGTGTGTTTGAATAGGAATAGGTGGAAAATAAGTACTGTTGGTGTGCCTTCAGGAACAGGGTTGGGAAACACTGCTCTATTGCTCTAAAAAACGCTATTTTTAACCTAACGCCGAGTTCAGACTGCATGATTTTGAAAGTAGTGGTGTCACAGGCGTTTTCACACTGCAGGACTATCTGGGCTGGCGTTTCGTCGCTGCTTTGTTTACACTGCAAGATAGATCGGCGTCAGGGGGCTTCACACTGCATGACTTTACAATAGGAAGAATCGCCAACAACTTTGTTCAAACTACGTCTCAGAAATTGCGACAGCTTCAGATATTTAGCATGCCAAATATCTCACGGCATCGGCAACTCATCGATTCTCTCAGATCGTGTCTTTAATAGTTCACATTGTGTGATTGTTACTCACGTGACTGAACACGGATTTGCTTGTGATTTCAGGCATTCATCTGCGATTTCAGACCTGTGGAGATCAAAATCGGTGCTAAAATCATGCAATCATGCAGTCTGAACTTGGTATAACACTGGGATACATATGCACAAAACTAAACCTTGACTTTTTCTTAACCTAACTATTGTGTTTGTCCATATTTGGCTCTGCATTGGGTAAATCAGTTTTGTTTAGCACTGTTTTACAGTGTATGGATTCTGCATATGATGTTCTTTGACGTATAAGTCAATAAGCAGAGCTCGTCCTGCAGTGATGATAAAACAACAACAACAACATCATCATCTGGTCACTGTCTTCCGGATGTGGATGGCCTGACTGTTGTCATGACAACCCTAGTGTCTGGAGACGACAGCATCACAACACTGAGCGCCCATCTGAAAGATCTCAGACGTGCTAATGAAGCAATACATCAGGACACTACCACTTAGATCAATTATGTAGACTACCAGTCAGCTAATGACATTAAAACTAGGTTTTATGAGAAATATGAATAATTATATTATTGATATAACATGACATTTACAAGTTACACAATGTACTAATAGCTATAGGTGCTGAAAATAAAAACGATTAGCCATGGCATTACTTTAGCATATGCCCTATATACTTTACATGCTAGCCATAATATAATTTAGCACAAGTACACTAGCGAGGTTGCTACAATAAAAAAACAACAATTTAAATAAATAAATAAATTAAATCTCCATAAATGTGTGCTAATCAAACAGTATTCTTCTCTTTATATTTTAATATTAGCATTTAGCAGATCGTAACATTTAATATAACACAGCATCAGGCCTTTTAAAATTAACATTAGCATCTGTTCATCATCCACACATCAGCTCGTGTTATTGATGTGTGTGTGGCTTTAAGAAAATCTGATCACAGACTGTGTATATATATCAATAATTACGATTAAACCGGAGATGTTTAGAGTTGAAACGCGGACTTTATCGATACGTCACCGGTAACGTTAAACGCGACGGCCTCGGATGTACACCGGATGCTGGAGATGCTGATGCTGAGGGTGAATCTGCCGTCAAACACACCTCTGCAATCCACACATCATTTGAAACACATTTGTACTCACGGTGTTCAGTGGGTTTCGCTCATCCGCCGCTCTCAGGACGCCGAATCCCGCATGCTGTTTTGTTCCGCGACGCGTTCAGTCGCCAACGTTCACTCGCGGTGACGTCATCGGGTCCGCAGAGGCGCTCCTGCGGGCGACACATTCAGTTATTATCGCTCATTAATAATTCATCAGCGCTCGCCGAATGATCACCCGTATTTGGTAAACAGTTCCTGTTATTATAAACGCGATATCTCTCTTCTTCTGACTGTACGACAAAATGGCGTTTGCTGTTTGTTCAAAAAAAGACTAATGACACACAATTCTTGAGGGAGTTTTGAAACAACTTACCTGTTTTATGTTCAATCTACTTAAATTTGTAATAAGTTAACTTAATTCTTTCATGTTGTCTCAACCAGGTGCAATTTTAACCAATAAGCGAGGTAAGCAGCTGCTTAGAGCCCCCAAATAAGTACCTAAATGTACAAATTACACCTATAAATTATTTATACTTTTTGTAATCATATTTTGTATGGTGTGTAAACAATTAATTTG